TAAATGCAGTGGAATGAATAAGAGGCACTTCCATTTTTTGTTGAAACGGGGGCAGGGAAGTGTGACAGCATAATTGCCTTTGTCTGCCGATTTCTTCTGGCATCCAGACTCATCCCCTAACTCTTCATAACAGAACACTGTTCTTACTGGGCCACGTATGTATTGCCAACAAAAGAGTACAGAACAGGGTGAAGATCTGAATTAAAAGTGCAGACATTAATGTATATGTATTATACATTATGTGGGAATAATTGTAGGAATAATTTCAATCACTGAAGCAGTAATATGCAACTCACCATACCGGGGCATCTGTGTGTCTTTTCAGTTTGCTGTGTAGCTGCTTGTTGCTGGGGGCTTTAAGGTCTTTGCCTCTTCTTCTTAGGGCTCCCTATATCTCCATCACCCTTGGACCAGATAGCTTTCAAATAGAGGGCACGATCACATAGAAGACTGACCTCTGTAAAGAAGCACACAAGGACAGCTTGCCAGTAGAACATTCTGCTAAGACTGGACATGATTTTCAGCGGCTCAAGTTCCTTTCCATCATCAATTGCAGCCTTCCCCAGCCTGGGATCTTCCAGATACGTTGGACCACAACTTCTAAGATCTCCAGCAGACAGAGGCATTGGACATGCTACTCAGAGATAATGGAAGTTGTAATCCACCACCTCTAGAAGGCACCAGGTTGGAGAACTGGTGCAATGGATCCAGACTTGGATGTGCTTTGTGTGAACCTATTGAAATCAACAAGACTTAATTTAGTCATTACTAATCTCAATTTATTTTAATGAATCTACTCAAAGTATAACTAAAGCTGGAGTTTGAGATAGTCAGCCTTCCTTCCTTCCTTCCTTCCTTCCTTCCTTCCTTCCTTCCTTCCTTCCTTCCTTCCTTCCTGAAAAGGTAACATTTGCTAGGGTGGATATTAAAAAAGCAGAAAATTCAATGTTAAGTAAAGTTGAGAGGTGAATATCTGTTCGTATGAATCACCTGCTCTGTAGGAGTTCTCTTTCTTAACTTGTCAATAAGCAAAAAGAAAAGGTGATAAACTCATGTCCTCTTTCAAAGAGTTCTGTCTTGGAAGGCAGTATATCAAATGATTATTCTCATGAAGAATCTTAATGAGCAAGAATCTTCCAGGGTGGTAGTGGTTATGACAGTCTGGAACTTAAATGTTTCAATCACCATTAAAAACGACAGTATCAAGCCCTATCTGTTCATACTTGTTCCAGGTAAATGTGTATGCTAAGTAAACTTCAGTTAATAGGTTTTCCATGTCTCATTTCCAAGTGATCTTTTCATTAGCAAACAGTTTAACATAAAAACATAACCATCAACAAACAAAAATAACATTTTGTCAATGACCAATATACAGCAAGACAAATATTTAATACTATAGAGTTAAACCCCCTCTGGAGGGTCTGAATTTAATTAAGAAGTCCCAAGGAGACTGTGAAGCTTTCTTGTGCTGGCTGAGAAAAGTGATCCATACATGTCAGAACGTGTGAAACTCATTCTCAGTTATGCTGCTGTACATGGCCCTTGGCTCTTTTCTAGTAAGTAACAGCCTTTCTACTGTTTCCAAGGAATAAACATTCTCCTGTTTGTTCCTCTTCTTCTAGGTAATTATTTTATACTGTTTCATTATATTGACTGCATTTTATTGTATTTAGACATCAATATATATTGTATTTCTTTGGGGGGGGGGGTTTGGGGGGAGACAGGAAATATATATATTTCTTGCTTTTCCTTTTTTCCAGAATCTATCTAGTTTTTAAGGCCATGCTGTTTTGTTTTGTTTGCTCCTTTAAATGTTTGAGACGCCATTCTGTATTGGTTTCTGAATCCTAATCGAATTATTCTTCTGACCATGGATTCCAGCTAACATTTCTCCATTCCTCTTCCTACCTCGCCTCATTCTGTTTGTCATATCTTAGACTCTGTGCACTCCTTTTGCCATTATCTTTCATCATGATTCTATTCTTTTGCTCTCCTTCATATCACTATCTTGTTCATGTTAGACTCATGCATTCCACGCCTCTTCCTCCTCTACTTCCAAACATTTCCAAAAATGTCATTCTTTAGAACAGGCCAAGGAACCTGTGCTCTCTGAATGTTGTTGGCCTTTAATCCCATTGGCCCCAACCATCAAAGCTGATGTTCATGGATGATGGGAACTGTAGTCCAACTACCTCTGGAGAGCAACTTGGTTATAGTTTCTGATCCGATCTCAGCCTCACAACATCCTAATCTCCTTTCCAAGTATGTTCTCATATCCAGTTCCTGCCTCTTTCTGGACTGCAGTTTTGCAAACATCAGATTCCTTTGAAGTTTTCTTTTGATTGCTCACTCCCACTTCTCTGTAACGTTGGTTCTCTTATTTTTAATGCTGTGTTGCTGAACATGACTGGCACAAAACTTACTATTCTACTAATTGCAAATTCATGCTTTTCTCCTATTCACCCGCTTTATTTTCTGCTAGGTAATCTACATTTTCTCATTTTATGCAGTCCTTCTTTTCCTCCCGTCATCAATGTCCAGTTGCTACTTTCAGGCCTTGTCTTCATCTACCTTCTGCTCCTACATTCATTAATTTGTGCAATATTTCATTGATTAACATTTTTATAATTTGTTTTGTATTACCCTCCCTCTCTTCTAGAAGGCAATTCTCTTTTCTTTCTCCAGTTTTATTCAAACCACCATCTGTCTTCAGACCACCACTGTTCTCTTGTTCTAGTTCCAGTTCCAGAAGCAGTTCCATCCCTTCTTCTGTTCTTCCTACTCTTATGCCCATCTACTCCCCTTTGCATCTGATGCCATCTCATTTTCTTCAGACAGGCTACTGCTTTCCAACTCCTTTAAAAATCTTCTTTAGAAAACCAACTCCTCCACAATTCTTGGTCCTTTCCTTTTCTCTCTCTGGCACTGAGCTACAACACACAAATAATTGGTCTTTTTCCAATGCCACAACTTACTTCTAATCCAGTTTCTCATTTTTACCTGTTCCAGTCTGATGTTCAGTCTCGTATTGAGATTGCTTGATGAACTATCTTTAATTAATCTTCTATATATTCTGTCCAAAGGGTTGTAACTCTCTGGAAAAGTACATGCTGCTCCTGTGCCCCAGTTCAACCCCAGGCATTTCCAGGTAGGCTGGGAAAGAAAACTGCTTAAAACATTGGAGAGCAGCTGCTAGTCAACATACGCAGGTCTGAACTAGTGGGCCCAGTTCTGTGTCTCCTCTGGTCCAGTCTATCTTCATCGCTTCCATTCTGTTGCCCCGAGCCTTCTGTTCATCATCTGTGACATTTCTTACTAAAATGCTATCCCTTTTGTTAATTCTTCTCTTGTGCTTTCCCCTTCCTCTTTAGGTAACAGAGTAGAACCGGCCTTTGTCCAGGTTTTAAGAAATTACTAAAAACTCTCACAACTCTCATCTTTATTCTCTTGCATCTCCTTCATTGAATTTCTTCAGTTGCTTTCTAATTATTGAGCTAATATTGATCAACATCAACACCTCTTTATTTTATCTTTGAAGTTTTCTTTTCCCTTAAACCATCCTTCCAAAGCCCTGCTACTTTTATGCCTCCCCCACCCCCACCCTCCAAAAAAAAACCTTAGTAAACTGGCTGCAGGCAAGGACCTGAGTCTTTCATTCATGGGTGACACCTTGCATATTGGAGCATTTAAATAAACAGAAGAGTTCAGATGCCAGGAATGAAACAGGCAGGTGTTATTGGCATGTGTTTCAGGGCCAGGGTGACACAGATTCTTCAGATGAGGAGGATGGGGCTAGGAAATGAGCCCCCCCCCCCACACACACACACAGACGGTGGAGGTGGAACTGCTTGTGTCAAAGTGTTCAGGCAGACCCTGAGAACAGTCAACTTCTGGAGGTGCCAGGAGGGGGCACAGGAGAGGTGCCAACAGCCTCTGGTATGATCCTTGACCCCATGGTGTGGTGTTGGGAGAGAAGAGCCAACCAACTGGAGCAGCTGCGTACCGCTAGGAGGTTGGCCTGCCTCTGGAAGGGCACTCCCAGGGGGTAGGTCCAGGATTACGCGAAAGGAGGGTTCTTGGGAATCCTTTCTGGTGTGGGTTCAACAAACCACTCTGTGCATGTTCAGAGACCTAGCTATAGTTTGCTGGCTGTACCTTGGAAATAAAGTTCGTTCACTAAAGAATGGTCTGTTGTGAAGGGGGAACCTAGCTCCTTACATAAGCAGAGATGTCATAGATGGGACCTTTTGGAGGGCTTTCATTCAAAGGGTTGCCATAAGTCAGGGATGACTTGACAGCACACAACAACAAAAATAATGAAATAATACTAACATAAAAGTATTAGGGGCTAGATGCAAAATTTAGCCCATAATATTTTGGTATTTGAAAAAATACAAAGCAAAGTTACAGTGGTCTAAGTAAATTATTCATTATCATTAGTAACTGTGTTGCTTGTTTTCATAATTATAAAATAAGCATGAATCTGCTATTGAAGGACAGGGTGTTTCAGAGAACAGAAAAATGCTATTCATATATTTCTTAATTTCTGGAATTTTAGCAAAAATTTTCTGCATATCTGGAATGCTGGTTTCAACAGCTGCAAAGTCTCGAAACCTATCCTTTAATAAAATGTAGACAAATAATTCATTCTCTGCTGCTGCCAAATCCTCGGCGTTCTTGTGTCATTGGAATCTTCCAATGTCAACAATGTGTACCCCATTTCAGCATGCGCTATTGGAGTTATGCCGCAGACTGCTCTTGCCAGCATTGTAGCAACACCAGAGGTGGAGAAGCAGCACTGAATACCGCCAAATTCTATACATATCCTGAATCTTCTATTGTGTGGCTTTGTTCTGTCTTTAGCCCAAAGGTCAGTTCTTCCAGGTAGTGAACTTCATCTTCTCTTCTCTATGTTAGCTTATTAAGTATATTTTCAGGCTGTTGCAGGAGCTGTAAACTCACTTGCGTGTTTGTTTGTTTGTTTGTTTGCAACCTCCAAGGTGACCAAAATGCTGGCTGTGGTGGTGATCCTCTTTGCCCTCCTGTGGATGCCATACCGCACGTTGGTGGTGGTCAACTCCTTCACGGATCCTCCTTACCTCAACAACTGGCTTGTCCTCTTCTGCAGGCTCTGCATCTACCTGAACAGTGCAGTCAACCCTATCATTTATAATGTGATGTCCCAAAAGTTTAGGGCCGCCTTCAAAAAGCTATGCCAATGCAAGCAGAAGAGAACTGAGATCACCACTCAGTACAACACCCCGGTCTTCTACAGCACCATGAAGGAGTATTCGCATGACAGTTCTGAGCATGACGTCACAGAACAAGAAGACCTCAATGGCTACCCGCCAGCAGCACGGAAAAGCAAACCTCCCAAATAGGGCCAGCTTCAGTGGCAGCATCTACCCACTGTCAGCCAAATATGTCTCTCCCCCCATTTGGATCCCATCTTTTCATAAGGCCAGTTGGCTTTATTTTAATGTTAACCTAGGCTTATCCTTGGTAACCATTTTTCATCATTAGAGTATGTAAAGGATGTTGTAGCGCAATGGGATTTCTCATTATGTATCTGCTGATACAGCAGTCTCGGCATTAACCCTTGTGTGACTGCCATCCTAGCAAGCAAGGGGACACTGGGGCTGCATTTATTCACCTCACTTCTCCATCACATTCCTGTATCCAGGCCTTGGGGACAGGCAAATTTGTGAGTTTCTCTTTCTCCTGCAATTTACTTTTTAAAAATCTCAACATCTTTCTCTCCCAAGTATGAAGAACTTTGCAAATTTGGGTGCATTCTTACTAGATGCAATCAAAAGTGAAATTCTCATCCATCTGCATAAGCCAAATCCAGCATGCAGGGGACGGAGATGTGCCTGCCTGCCTGCCATGTGACTATTGAAGGCAAGGAGACTGTCAGAAAAAGCAAAGCAAAACAAAACGGAGGTGGACACTGAATTCAGAACTAACATGGCTGAATACCTGGGAATGCCATCCCAGACTTGTAAGAGCAAACCATTCAAAACCCTGGGCTTGGATGGACAAATTGGTCAGTTTCAATTTCTTCCCCATTCATTCGTTTGTTGTTGCTGTTTTTAATGACGCATGTTTTATCCAAAATATGGAAAATTCAGTGAATTTGTGTAGGCGCCTCACATGATGTGGCTCTCTGCTCACCGGGGGATGTGACTCATGCAGGGAGCCTGTGAATGAACTGGAGAGGTGATGCTGTCTAGGCTTGTGCCGCCCACATGGGCATGGAAGCAGAGCTGGCAGGGATGTGCTAGAGGGCAGGGACACTGCACTGCGACCCCACTCTCCCCTCGAATGCAACTGTAACTTTGTGGTGGCGAATGAACAAACAAGGCTGATCTTTGTAATATACTGAGCTTGGTTGTCATCTTCAGGTGGATCTTCCAAGGAATGTCCCGGGACTGGAGTGGGCACGGAGCTTCTTCCCATTACTCCGTTTGGCTTAATACATCCTAACTCACATTAGCCAAAGTAGGTTTCCCACAATGAGTAAAAGGAGAGTTTTTCTGAAATGCATGGAAGCCCCCCACACTCGGCCATTCTTAAAGTAGCGATCAAGTTACTCATCTCACTGTAGTAGGCAGACACTTTCACAGAAGAGGAGGGCATGAATCTCAAGGGAAAGGATCCACCACTCCTGCATCCGGGGACCAGGTTCATCTACCCCTTGCATTAGAGTCCCCATTAAGCCATGTGACTTCCTGACGCAGTGAAGCAGGGAGCTGGTACATCGGGCCTCTGTCGGCCTTTCAAAGACCCCGGACCCTGGCATGTACTGATGATGCCATTGGGAATGCTTTAGAAGCTCGAGTCAGACTGTAGGTCCCTTTAGACCTGTTTTGTCAGCACTGACTGGCGGGGGCTTTCCAGGGTCTCAGGCAGGACTCTTTCGCAGCCCTTCCTGGAGAAGCTGTGGAGCAAACCTTGGGCCTTCTGCATGCAAAGCGCATGTTCTTAGCACTGAGCTACAGCCCCTCTCTGGGGACTCCCTTGTATTAGGGTGCTGTCGTAGAAAACATGCCATGAGAAATGCTTTTCCAAAATGCATTGGACCTCTTAAAAAAAAAAAAATCTGACTCTGGAATGTCCTTCTTGGTTCTTGTTTGTAAAAACAACTGGAGGTTGCCCGTCCCTGCCATAAAGCTTTAAATATGGCTGCTATTGTTGCTGGATTGCAATCTGAATCATGCTAGCCTCCCTAGAGTAATTTCTTTGGGAGTAAGCACTGGTTTTTTTTCTACCATGCCGCCTGTCACGTGGAGTTGCTGTGCCCTCAGGCTGCCATTGGCTGCCCTCCTATACCTGTGGTGGAGGAAGTGTTTCCTTGACAAACGTCCTGAAAATAGCATGTACATATTTGCAGTCTTGAGTGGCTTGATGTGACCTGGGGAAAAGCAGGACGATGTTTATTGTGATTACAGCAAGTGATGTGAATATGGCCAAATCTACATTAAAGTGAAGCATGTTTCTTATTTGCGGGTGCTACTCTTTATTGATCTATTGCAAATATATGCTGTCTTCCCTTCCAAGCAACTCTTGGTTCTCTCTATCTCTCTCCCCCCTCACACACTTTAAAGAATTCTCATGGCTGTCCTGTACAGTATGTGGCCAAGAACCTGGGACCATCCGTAGCTATGATCTGGGTGAGCCTGAGCAGCTTTCCTGGCCACTGGTTGGGCTCTGACTGTAGCTGTATAAGAGTTCCAATGGAAGGCGATTTCTGCTCTGCCTCGTTAAAGCCATTTCCCCTTCTGCCTAAGCAGAGGGTAGCATAAACTTAGTGTGTTCACAGCATACTTGCTGCGAATGGAAGCCTACTCAGTGATGGGAAGATATATTTGAATAGGATGCTGAAGTCAGAAGGCAGTTGAATATCTGCACCTACAGTGCAGGAAAAGGGCAGGCCTTACATATGCATCGAAGCAGAAGGTCTGTGTGTGTATGGGGTGGTACTTGTGGGGAATTCATGTGAGAAAATAAGTTTCTTCCGCAGTCTCCAGCCTGTAAACCTAAGCAACGTTCCCCACCCTTTGAAAGTAATCAGCAAAGCAAGTGGACATCAACAGCTGACACAGCCCAAAATACTCCTGAGCTCTCTGATGTTCTTACTAAAGTGATGTGCAAGTCAAATAGTTACACTTAAAAAGAAGCTCAATTGCCACAGTTGAGCTTTTGCTACTTTGACCCCTATGATTTCTCTTAGAGGCAAAATGCAAACCAGTAGCTTTTGGGAGGGCTCTGCTGTTGGATTGCTCCACTTTAGACTGCAGATGGTCCTGGTAAGATTTAGTACTTGAGAGCTCCCACTTGTAGCACACATGCACAAACCCTCCTGCATGCTCAAAATGTGCATGTTGGGAGGTGGAAAGGCTAGAAGTTCTCCCTGACATGTGAACATGGTATTTCCAGGTATTCAAACTAACAGTTTCACACCACCTACAGTCTAGAATAGCACAGTTCTGTCACAGATGGTAGCCTCAGGTTCAGATGAAAAGGGAGGGTACTGCACACATTATCATTAGACCAAAAGTTGCCCCTTTCTTAGTAATGTAGGGGAAATTGCTGTGAAAGGGATTAAAAGTGTCCATCCCTTCAAGAAATAATGCCCTCCTGAACAGGCTTTCTTTACCCACAATGACATAATCACATTTATTTATTTATTTGATTTATATCCCTCCCCCTTTCTTTTACAAAGAACTCAAAGTGGCTTATATAATTCTCCTTTTCCTGCTCCCAATCTTATCCCCATAACAGCAACCCTATGAGGTAGGTTAGGCTGAGAGACTGTGACTGGCCCAAAGTCACCCAATTGGTTCCATGGTCGAGCAGGGACTAGAACTCTGATCACCTGAGTCCAAGTCACTCTTAACCACTACACCACACTGTCTCTCGACATTTGCTATATGATCCTTGATTGCCTGGGATCATTCTGTGATGAAGCCCTAAACAAGAAGGGGGAAAGGTATGCAAAGCAGCAGCTCATGGTGCATGTATACCTTCCTTCCACCTGCACTGCAGACGTGGCTGGATGTTCCATCCGCATCACTTGAGCTTTGCATGAATGAAGTGTCACAAGAAACAGCAGCAGTGAGCAGGTTTGGGGGGAAAAGGTGCACAGTCTTAAGAATGCCTGGTTTGGAGTGGGGCTGGTGTCTGTGTGTGTGTGGGGAGGGGGGGGCGGTATTTCACACACATCCTCCAAAGTTTTCAGCCTCAAACACTGGAATGGGCGAACAGCAGTTGCAGCTGCCATTTGCACACAGCAGCTGAAATTGGCAACAAGGAACCCCCACTTGAGGCAAAGGCAGGCGAATGATGGCATGCTGACTATTTTCTGTTTTGACAGGCAAGATGTGGCATCAGAGCAGCTGAGCCCCAACATTTTTCATGCTGCTGTGCTGACTGAACCTCCAAAGCCACCTGCAGTGCAGATGGACCTGTGGCCAGTGAGGTGCGGAGGCTATTCTGAAGGTCAAATTCACAGCAAGTGTGCATTAAACATTCAGGAAGTTTGCAGAACAGTTCTAGCTCTGCTAAAGTGAAGGCGTTTCTTTCTGTAGAAAAGCAAACTGAGAAGAGATGTTTAAATGTCTTGTAAACAACATATTCTGCAGAAGGCAGCAACAAGCCAGGCTGTGTCTGGTCAGTGTTTAAGGGTGCAATCCTGTGTGTATTTAGACAGACAAAAAGTCCTATAATTCCCAGCAAGTCCCAGCCAACCATAGGAAGAAGCTGAGAAATCGTAGGACCCTTTTTCCATCTGAATATGTAGAGGACTACAAACTAAGTATCATCCCTTTGAAGTAAGTTCAGAAGCAAATAGGTAACCAGCAAAACTCTTCTAAATATTGTCAGGATATAATCCAAATGAGCAGTTTTCTTTTTCTTTTTTTTTTAAATATTTTAGCTACATCCTTCCTTTTCTCCTTCAAGGAATTCAAGGTGGCTTACATGATCCACATCATCTTCTCAAGCTTATCCTCATCACAACCTTGTGAGCTGAGATAGGCTGAGAGTCAGTGACTGGCCCAAAGCCATCCAGTTGCCTTACAATTCCAGCATTATCTGGAGAAGTTTCCAAACTATCTGCAAAGGTGCCCTCATGTCCTGCTTGTGGATTTTTCAGAGAAGGTTGGTTGGCCAGAATGGGACTAAACAGGACTTTGGTCGAATCCAGCATGGCTCTTCTTATGTATTACACTCCATCCTTCAGTGGTGTACATTTCTGTGCATTTTTTCAGAACAGCAGATCTTCGTCTCTTCCAATAATGTTCATACTTTCCAACAAATAAATTAGCATACATTTTCAGAAACTAACAAAACAATTCTAGTGACTCTGAAGAGCTCAAAG